GGTTTGAACGCTCTTCCTACGGGCGGGAGGAACCCGAAGGAGGCTACACCGAAGGGCGGAGTCTCCTTCGGGGAGGTAAATCCGGTCCTGAACCCGTTTATACGGGTTCAAATGGGCTATTTTTTGGCCGAGCCTAATGGCTTGGGAATTGCCCACGTTAAAAAGGCCTTGTGCCACATGACACCCTCGTGGGGGGTGGTGACTGAATATTGTCAGTCGTTCAAGTCAAAGCTGATCGGTTGAACTCTCTGCTTTCGGGCGGGGCGGAACCCGAAGGAGGCTACGCCGAAGGGCGGTCTCTTTTGGGGAGTTAAACCGACCCTGAATCCGTTTATACGGGTTCAATGGGCATATTTTTGGCCGAGCCCACGGACTCGGAGATCCCACGTTAAACCGGCCTTGTGCCACATGATGCCCTCGTGGGCGGGGGGGGTGACTAAATATAGTCAATCGTTCAAGTGGAGTCAGTAGTTCGGAGTCAGTAGTTCAAGTAGAGTCAGTAGTTCAAGTGAAGAGTCGAGTCAGAGGTAGTCCGAAGCAGAGTCGCGTTCAGACAATTACTGCAAGACATTTTAATAGTGATACTAGTCGAGACTACATTGTTCTCTCTACTAAACCTGATTGTTCATACAAACACTTCTACTTCTCTGTATATATTCCTGTTTGTAATATATCTGTGTTATTCCATACCTATGTTCGAGTTCTTCTTTATTGGTTCTACCTTGGACTATCACCGTGGTAGAAGGAACCGGACCATAACAATTAGTATTAGTAAAATATTTTTATCTCTAAAATAATCTTACAATCGCAAAATATTCTATTGTATACATAGAAAGCTGTAAAAGTAATTAATCAATCATTTATCACCAAATAATTATTAATAAAATTTTATAATTATCTGATATTTAAAAATTTAACTAATATCCTCTACGTTTAAAAGAGCCCGATAAAGTCTAGAATAGAGTACTGTCGCTTTATGTGAGCAGGAAATGCACAGTCTTCACTTTCCAGTCTCAATAGAGCCCTCAAGCGTCTCCGCGTCCTTGTGGGTGATGAATTATTTCCCAGCCTGCAAACCCCACTCTCACCGACAAAACATCGCAAGTCTCTCCTTGCTTTATCGCTATTTCGATGAAAAGTACTCAGCCGAACTACAGTCCTTAGTTCCACAAATTGTAAGCTTCAAGGCAAAGACACGCCACGCTACGCATATTGTAGTGACCCCCGCCTCATTCGCTTCATATTCCATTGGTGAGAAGTTTCAATACAGCAACTTCTTCCCGTTAACCACTGCTCTGTGAAACCGACTCCCAAGAGGATGCTTCCCCGATCAGTACACTCTTAGGCTGTTCACGTCTAGACTGAACGTCATCTTCCTGTGTCGTAATCTAGGGAAGGTTATTGAATAGAATAATCACAAGAAAGTTGGTAATGAACAATAATACTTAGGACAAGAACAACACATATAAGATTCGCCAGCGGCACGTAGAAGTAGTAGTCAACTGCTAGAAGTGAGTAAATTCTACAATGAATCTCCAACTGAAGGATATCTACCACCCGCCCCACGCGGTCAGATGTTGTGCAAGGCCGAATTTAATGTGGGGTATCCGAGCCTGTAGGCGCGTCCAAAAATTGCCCGTAGACCGCGTATAAAACAGGGTCGGGTAGCTATTTCCCGAGACAAGATTGTGCCTTTCGACATAGCCTTGTCTGGGAATCCTCTCTGCCCGGACGCAGAGAGCTTAACCAGCCCAGCTGAAGACGAATCTCCAACCGCAGACCAACATACAGTATTTACTACTGTATTTATATGAATCGGGACATATCTATTATCGTCCTTAGGTATCCTACAACAATATGATATCGACAAATGATAGACGTGAAAAAACTGATATATTTTTAAATCAGCAAAATGACAGATTGACGGGCAATAAACTGTTAAGTTTACATTTTCTTTACTTTTTTTCTCATCTCTAAATTTATTATATTCATATCCCGTCCCAGGGTAGAAGAGGTACATATAACTGCAATGCCTTACTTCAAACTCAACTCAAATTGTGTGGCCACGTGTATATGTGCGTGGGCATATCGGGGCATTGCATTTTGATTCATTCATCCATTTTCTACGGTTTATCAACCCTTTGCAGGTTATTTAAAGCCAGAAAATATTTTTAGATTGTAAGATTTTTTGAGATAATAATGATTTAGTTACAAAAGTCGTACTAATTAACCCATAGCTGGGAAAAAACGTTATTTGAGCATAAATAACGAACCCGACTGGAATTGGAACTCTACTCTCTAAGTTCCAATACGAACTGTTACCCATTACACGTCCCCTGTTCTCATGGCATTAGCAGAGCGTTGGATGATCCTCTCTAAGATAAATGCGTCCTGGTGGACGGCGTGCTTCCAGCGGCTGTTTGGTCTGCCGCGCGGTCGTCTCCCGTGTGCAGATGTCGGATCGAACTGGTAGATGTCTTTGGTAGGGTGGTCATCAGGTCGTCGCAGAACCGATCTAACAAATACGACGCTGAGCCAGGGTGCGGTGATGCTCCTCATTTTACACAAGATCAAAACAGTGTACCCCACGTCGATGGTCCTGAATGCGCGGGTCTCGAAGCCATGGAGGCAGGGGACTAGAGACGCCCCGTCTTGGCGCCGTATAATAGGACACGGAGTGCGGTAGAGATTTAAAATCGAATACATGACATCCGCACAGATAAAATCACCGGCAGTGTGTGACGGACAGAAAATCAGATCTTTTTTTTTTATATAATAGATGTCTTTTCAAATAATCAGTGATGTTGTCTGTCTGTATGGCATAGGATTATATATGGCAGATTTGATCTGGCTTAATCTCACTTTCACTGCCTGCTTCCACGACGGGTTAAGCTCTGTGGTCTGAATCTTAATACAGATTTATTCGCATAAAAGTAAATTTATTTTTGACGTGTCATATATAAGCAGAAAATGTGATGGTAAAAATCGTAATTAATGATATCAGACATATATATATATATATATATATATATATATATATATATATATATATATATATATATATATGCAATCAGGCGATTGGCGATCCTTATTTTTGTTAATCTTTTCTATATCTTTACATACATTTCCGTCAGGGTTGGCCTCAAAATTATTCCTTAGCAAATTCCTGTCCAACATTTGCGATGTTTGCATCACATTCTTTCTCTTCGCCAAAACCTTTAAAACCAGCGCAGTTACAAATTAAAAGACAAAGCTTCGATTGATCCATTATGAAGCATTGATAACAATTTTGCCGTTTTAATATTACTCAATGATCTTTCCAATGTGACCTCCATCTTTCTCCTTCTCTATTTTGCATAGGAGTCATTACCTTGTTTAAATTTAAATTTAATTTAAATCAAAGGGAAAAAAAAATTCAGTTGAGGGTTTGTGGAAAAACAGCTTGATCTGACCCCTTTGATATCTATTTGATCAGTACTTGACTGAATGATGATATAATGAAATATGCGTACACCTGTGACCCCCTTACTGGAATATGATTGGCTGATGCCCGTCATAAATAACGACGGACGTGTAGGAGAGTCAAGAGCCTTAATCTGAGAGCTAAGTTTATAATGACGCCCATTGGACTACGCCATTGATCTACACTTCTTACCTGCGACTACGACGCGTACCAGTCGATTACTGCTACCGTATTCTACTTGGTTATAGTAGCCAAAACCACTTAGCTACTTCGTTCAAATATATCCCTTTCCATAATATCAGATGAATTGATGAAGAGATTTCAACATTGATATGACAGTTGAATTGTCTCAACTAATACATATTGTAAGGCACTACCCACTGATTGGTGATTTCTTGATCAACTCTACGCCTATATCGTCTCACTTTGATCTTGCTGATGTGACCTCTATCTTCTTGCTTTCTCCTTCTATATTTTGGATAGGATTCATTCCCTTGTTCAAATTTAAATTTAATTTAAATCAAAGGGAAACGATTTCATTGAGTGAGGATCAAAAATATCTTGATCTGACCACTTTGATATCTATTTGATCAATACTTGGTTGAATGCATTGAGCGGATTTTAACATTGATATGACGGTTGAATTGTCGCAACAAATATGTATTGTAATGTATCAGCCACTGATTGATGATTTCTTGCTCAACTTGACGTATTGTCTCATTTTGATCTTACCGATGTGACCTCCATCTTCTGGGTTTCTCCTTCTATATTTTGCATTGTATCATTCCTTTCTTCAAATTTAAATTTAATTTAAATAAAAAAAAATGATACGTAGCAAGGGTCGTACAATTCAGATAAAATCCAAGGAAAAATTTATAATTTTAACGGTTCTGACCTGTAATTTCGAATCCATTTACTTTTTCACCGACGTGATACGGCTTCCCTCTGTCTTTTCTATAAATATTTTCCTTGCAATTGTTCTAAAAAGTTTTCTCGACCGCATAAATTTAAGCATAGTACTAGATTTCTATATCGATCTCGACGTTTTACTTTTAAAACAGATGCAACCGTAAGTTCTATTTTAATAATTTCTTCTCTCGCATTTCTTGCACGTGAATGTTTCTGATATTTTCCTTCCCTGTCACATACGATCTTCAAATAGTTTCTATGTAATGCCAATCGCCAAGTTCCTGAAACCTGTTCTTTTACAGTGCTTTCTTCTCACAAAATTCTTCCCACTCTCTTCCACTCCCATTAAACCTTTGCATCATAGTGGCATTATCGCCTTGCCTAAAGTGAAATAATTTTTAATAATAAAAAAAAAGTCTATTCACGATGATTGACGGATGAAAATTCCTGCGCTAAAACGAATGTTTTTCCAATAGTGCTTATCACAATTTATTACAATGTTCCCTTTGGTAGATGAACACTGAAAAAAAAATCTAGCTGATTTTCAGTCTGATAAACAGATGGATGCCAACATTGACTTGCAGGTTTGAAATGTCTCTTCATCGACTGCGTGGTTTATAATATTGCAATGTATCGATTACATTTCGATAACAATCTTGTGACAAGGGAAATTCTTTTGGAAGATCTCTCTCTTCGTTTTCCTGCCTTCTGGGATAATGAGAATTATTTCATCTTTGTCTCCTCCATTTTTCATGGCAATTTCGACTTTGCTTTCTTTCTGACTTTCGATCTAAAAAAATTGCTTTTTTTCTTTCATAATCTTTCTTTCTTTATTTTTTTCACCTTTTTTAATTTAGTCTAGTGATCACTTTTGTCTTAACTTTTTTTTCTTTCCTTAACTCATCAATATGTATCTTTCTCTTCCGTTGGTTTTCTTTCTTCCTTTCCTTTTTATTTTAGTCTAGTCGTCAATTTTTCTCGCTTTCTTTCTTTCTTTCTTTCTTTCTTTCTTTCTTTCTTTCTTCCTTTCCTTTTTATTTTAGTCTAGTCATCAATTTTCCTCGCTTTCTTTCTTTCTTTCTTTCTTTCTTCCTTTCCTTTTTATTTTAGTCTAGTCATCAATTTTCCTCGCTTTCTTTCTTTCTTTCTTTCTTTCTTTCTTTCTTTCTTCCTTTCCTTTTTATTTTAGTCTAGTCGTCAATTTTTCTCGCTTTCTTTCTTTCTTTCTTTCTTTCTTCCTTTTCTTTTTATTTTAGTCTAGTCGTCAATTTTCCTTTTTGTCTTTCTTTTTCTTTTCATCAGTTTCTTTCTTTCACCTCTGTTTTTCCATCCCTCTTTCTTTCTTTCCTAATATTCATCAATTTTATTATTTCTTTTTTTTCGTTTTCTCTTTCATTCTATTCTAGTTTAATATTCATTTCTCTCTCTCTTTTTCTTTGTCATTTTCTCTCTTTCTTTTCTTTTCTTTTTTTCTTTCTTTGTTTCTTTGTTTCTTTGTTTCTTTCTTTCTTTTTAAGCTCTCCTCTGTCTCATTCACCTTCCTTTCTTTTTCTACTTTTTTCTTATTTTTGTCTACGTTGACTTATTTCTCTTTTTTTTTTCTTTCTTTCTTTCTTTCTTTCTTTCTTTCTTTCTTTCTTTCTTTCTTTCTTTTCAAGTTCTCCTCAGTCTTATTCACCTTTCTTTCTTTCTTTCTTTCTTTCTTTCTTTTTAAGCTCTCCTCTGTCTCATTCACCTTCCTTTCTTTTTCTACTTTTTCTTATTAAGGTCTACGTTGACTTATTTCTCTTTTTTTTCTTTCTTTCTTTCTTTCTTTCTTTCTTTCTTTCTTTCTTTCTTTCTTTCTTTCTTTCTAAGCTCTCCTCTGTCTCATTCACCTTCCTTTCTTTTTCTACTTTTTCTTATTAAAGTCTACGTTGACTTATTTCTTTCTTTCTTTCTTTTCAAGTTCTCCTCAGTCTTATTCACCTTTTATTCTTTCTTTCTTTCTTTCTTTCTTTCTTTCTTTTCAAGTTCTCCTCAGTCTTATTCACCTTTCTTTCTTTATTTCTTTCTTTCTTTCTTTTCAAGTTCTTCTCAGTTTTATTCACCTTTTTTATTCTTTTTTTTTCTTTCTTTCTTTCTTTCTTTCTTTCTTTCTTTCTTTTCAAGTTCTCCTCAGTCTTATTCACCTTTCTTTCTTTATTTCTTTCTTTCTTTCTTTTCAAGTTCTTCTCAGTTTTATTCACCTTTTATTCTTTCTTTCTTTCGTTCTTTCTTTCTTTCTTTCTTTCTTTCTTTCTTTCTTTCTTTCTTTCTTTTCAAGTTCTCCTCAGTCTTATTCACCTTTCTTTCTTTATTTCTTTCTTTCTTTCTTTTCAAGTTCTCCTCAGTCTTATTCACCTTTTATTCTTTCTTTCTTTCTTTCTTTCTTTCTTTCTTTCTTTCTTTCTTTCTTTTCAAGTTTTTCTCAGTTTTATTCACCTTTTATTCTTTCTTTCTTTCCATTTTAATGTATTCATAAATTTCCTTTCTTTCTTTTGTTCATTCTTTCTTTTTATTTTAATTCACCCTTTTCTTTTTTTCTTTCACCTTTATTTTCTTTCTTTTTGATCGAGTTCTGCTAACGAGACTCACTAAGTATTGCATTCTTTTAATATGTCAACCTTCAAAACACACTCTTTCCTTCCTTCCTAAGATGATTTCTCATTCGCCTCATCCCTTTCTTCTTCCCTTTCTTACTTCTTCCTTTCCGTCGTTCACGCTCTTTCTCCGTCTCACCCTCTCTTTCTGTCTCTTCTTTGTTTTCCTCTCTCCCTTACTTCTATATATTCCTCTACCCATTCTTTCCTTCGTCTCTTTCTTTGTTTCTCCTTTCCTTTCCTCTTTCGATATCTCTTCCCCCTTCTTTTTCTTACTCTCCTTTCCTACCTTCCTCTTTGGTATTCCCTTTTTCTTTCATACTGTCTCTCTTCTTTCCTTCCTTCCTTTCACTCTCCCTTCTTTCTTCTCTTTTACCCTCTATCTCTCTCTTCCTTCCTCTCTTTATTCCCTCCTTTTCTATCTTTTCACCATTCTGTGAATCCAACTTATTGCACGCATCCTTCATTATCTTGAAACTCATCAAAACAAGAAAAAGTCATGTTAATATTTCAAATTATGCCAGAAGTCGTTACTGAAAACCTTTTTATACCGTTTCATTTTTCATGTGTCCTTATATTCTGCATAGAGTCTTGTACCTATTTACAAGCCGATAGATGCAGGAAATTCCGATGGATATTTTTTTGGTATAAATGACAGATTCCTCGAGCAATATCTTAGACGTGACTTAATGCCAGCTTTGAGATTCTGTTGCAATCTTCCACATATTTGTAAATATCGTTTGCACTTTATCCGTATTCAATACTTATATATGTTTGTAAAATACAATAACACTTTCTAGATGACTTAAGCCTTGGTACAAATATACATTATTGCCTATCTATTTAAATGGACACGCACAAACACCAAAAGACCTGTCTCAGGGTGCAGAATGAGTCCGAACTTTAATTGTTGATAACTCCAAAACGGTAGAGTTTATCAAATATCTTTGTTATTTTTTAATTAAGGATATACATTTACATCTGTCTATATTTCTGAGATGAGGTATTATGTACACTATTTACATTATTCGGACTATTTTCCTCATCTTTGTCGCCATATTTATCACAACGTTTAGGCCCTTCAGTATCTGTCTATATTTCTGAGATGAGGTATTATGTATACTATTTACATTATTCGGACTATTTTCCTCATCTTTGTCGCCATATTTATCACAAAGTTTCCACCGTTGCACGCACCGGCCTTCTTCAGGTGGTTGGAATGTCGAACTGAACCCTTTATTTCGCTCACTGGGGTAGACTGTTCTAGTTCCACGTGCCATGTTTTGATGGATGTCAGTTATCAGTTATCTCTTGTTAATTCCCCTTTCCAAGTTCTTCACCGGCTTAATCAGGTATTGAACTCTCACTCTTTGGGTCCTATCACTGGATCTAACTAACGCCTTTATCCACTGTGCCATGTGTCTTTGACATTCCAACCACTTTAAGAAGGCCGGAGCGTACAACGGCCGAAACATTGTGATAAATATGGCTACAAAGATGAGGGCAATAGTGCGAATGTAAATCGAGTATATACATTTACAACTGAATGGAACTATTCGGGAAATTTTTATTAGAAACTGAACGTGGGATTTGAACTGCAAATTACCCTCGAATTGAAATTAGTTCAGTTTACCCCCTGTTTCGGGGTATATGTAAAGGGTGTTCCAATAACTTGGACCAATTTTAATGTGAATTAGGTTTAAGTGTCTAAAGATTTTTTTGTTGTTTTTCTTTCAGATTTGGCAGAAATTTGGGCGATATCAATTTTCACACATAATTGCCATGACTTAAATAACATGATCCAATAGAGAAATAAATAAATTTTCACCAATAACACTGATTTATTTACTGCTGACTTTGATCCCTCTTATTGAAACACCCTTTATTTGAACATTTCTTCCTAGAAGGTAATGGATCTCAAGACATTGATTGACGGATTAATTTGTTTTTTTTTACGGCTTATCAACCTCTTGTCGTTATAAGTCCTACTAATTAAGCCATAGTTGGGTGTAAAAGAGATTGATTTATACTTTTCCCAAGTGTATTTTCACTGATTATAAGGAACCAGACTGGAACTTGGCTCTCCCCGATCTCCAGTACCGAAACGCTATTACACCATCCGCTCATCCAAGCTTACAGCCACTTGGGATTCCAAAACTGTCACCCATCAAGGTACTGACCAGTCTTGACATTGCTGATCGTACAAGAACCGGTATTTCAACGTGATATGAGCTTAAGCCGAGCTTGTAGGGAAGAGAGGCGGACAAACTTATTTCATTTTGAAGAATGGCGCAAAATAATCTTCTTTCACTCTTTTGCCTCCAGTATCAATCTGAATGTACAAAGTCTAAGTGAATTATGCCGAGATTTAAGCTTCAGCATGGCCATCTCTCACTCAAAATGCCTGGAGAAACACAAGAATAATTACCTCCCTTTAGTAGCTTAAGGCCGGAATACGTTGCAACACCGGTATCACCAAAGTTAAGCAATGTCAAGCCTAGTCAGTATGTAGATGGGTAAACGCCACGTGATGTAAGCTTGGATGTGCGGGTGGGGTAATGGATAATGGCTCGGAATTGTTAATTGTAGAGCCGAGTTTCAGTACCAGCTGATTCGTTATAATCATTTATGCAAAAATAACCCTGGGAAATGTATGAATCTATCACTTCTCCCCATCTATGGATTAATTAGTAAAACTTGTATTAATAAAACCATTATTATCTCCAAAAAATAAAATTACAAAAAAAATATCTAAATTTTGGCATTCTTTCTTTCTTTTCATGAACCGTCTCCTTTCAGGACGTAGGCGATCATGGCCCTTCACTTCCACCTATCTCTTTTGACTCTCAACATCTTTTCTGTTCCTTTCAACTTCCCCTGATCACGCTCCGCCATCCACCTGCCCAAGCCCGCCAGATATGTCATGCGCTGCTTTCCCCTGTCTCTTTTTCAATCTATTCATCCCGTGAGTATCAGATTCTCCAAGCCCTCCTTTCTCATCACGTGTCCAAGAAATTTCATCTGCCTCTTCCACTTATGTTAAGCATAAGCTTCCTCCTTGTTTGCATCTTCTCCAAGACCATATCGTTCCTCACATGCTCTGTTCATAATATCCTCATCATCCTTCTGTAGAGCCACATCTCCGCCGCCTCGAGTCTCTTCTTCATTCTTGAGGATACCGTCCAATATTCGCTGCCGTATCGAAGAACAGCTGTCACGTAGCAGCTCAGTACTCTTTTCTTTGTCACCATAGAAATCCTCATGTTTCGCAGTACTCTGCTCAACTTCTGAAATGTATCCTTGGCCATCCCAGTCCGTCTTGGGATCTTAGCGTCACACCTAGCATCCTCCGTCAGAACACTTCCCAGATACTTAAACATCGAGAGATACTTAACATCTACAGATACTGGCACCACATGGCTAATAAAATCAAGCACTTTCGTTCCATTTTCATAATTTCTTCTTGCTTAATATTTCCAACATGTGTTAACTTAATTGGCAACATAAGCAACTTAGTTTTAATATCTTATATTGAGACTTTGTTTACGATTTATATATATATGTCCATAAATGTTACAATTCAAAATTGAGAATTTGCTTTGAAGTTTTAATTTAGCTAACAGGCTCTGCTAGTGTTAGTTAAAATTGTTGACTGGTATATATATATAAAAGAAATAGTTTGTTTATACAAAAAATTAAATACCAATGTTAATGGGAATTAAGATGAAATCACTACGCTAACAGAGCTTAATAAGACATTAACCTACTATCAATTTCTTAAATAATAAGATCCTTATATCTTAGTTGTTGTCAGATGGAAGACACACGCCAAGTATTTTCGACAATTTCAAATTGTCATCCTCAGTGTGTAATTTTACCATATATAGGCAAACACTAAGAGAAAATATGTGTAGCCCAAAAGATGGTTTTAAAAAATTATGCTATTTATTGACAGATGAATAAATGTTTTGGAGTGGGCGATGCCACGACGCTAGAGTTTTTGTTCAAATCGATACAATTAGAAGTTTTTTTAAATTTCGAAACGTTAAAAATCTACGAAATTGTCTTGTTATATGTATTTATGTTAAAGTGAAATGGACTTTGTATAATCCAATGAGTAGAGTAAAAATGTCTTAGTAATTTTCCACATAATTTAAGATTCTAATTATTGCTGTGCTGCGGATCTGACGTCTAAAATATATTAGAGTGTGAAGCTTGTATTTTATATCATAAAGTAACAAGTTCTACAAAGAATTAAATAGCGATGTTAATGAGATTAATGGCGAAATCACTTTGATAACAGAAATTAATGAGACATTAACTTTCTATTAGTCCCTTGAATAATAAGATCCTTATATTACAGTTGTTGTCAGACGGAAGACACATATCAAGTACTTTCAACAATTCCAAATTGTCATCTTCAGGGCGCAATTTTCCCACAACCTAGGCAAACACTAAGACGAAATATGTGTAGATCGATTTCGACATTAATCATATTAACATTGCTATTTAATTCTTTGTATAATTTTTTTTCTTTATGATATAAATATAAACTGCACACTATCATATATATATATATATATATATATATATATATATATATATATATATATACTACATTTCAAATGTTTGCAGCCACCAACAGTGCTGAAATAATCTAGACTAAAGAAGGATATTTTGACGAGAGCAAAATTTAATCATAAAAGACATTTTTTTTTTGTTTGGACATAATAAAATTTCTAATAAAAATCAGATTCGCTTTTTAATCAAGTATAATAATTTATCTCTTATTTAAGTAGAAAATAACTACTTTGGGGACAAATTACTATGGGTGGCCTTGAATTTTGAAACTGTAGTATATATATATATATATATATATATATATATATATATATATATATACATATAAATATAAATAACTAGACTCGTTTTTTGAAAAACCCTCGAATTTTTGATTTGTTAATCAAATCA